ACCCACCTCACAGCCCCCCTGCCCCCTACCCACTATACTGCCCCCTACCCACTATAGAGCCCCCCTACCCACCTCACTGCCCCATCCCACTATAGAGCCCCCCTAGCCACTATAGAGCCCCCCTACCCACCTCACAGCCCCCCACCCATTATAGAGCCCCCCTACCAACCTCACAGACCCCCTACCCACTATACATCAGCCTTACTTTTGTTCATTGGAATGTAAAAGAAAAGCATAAAAAAGGAGATAAAAAGGAAAAGATAAAAAAAAAAAAAGGAAGAAAAATAGAAAAAAAGGGGATAAAATAAAGGAGGAGAGTACTTGTAAAAAAAGGAGAACGAAGGAGCAGAGTACTTGTAGCATTGGAGAAAGAAGGAACAGAGTACTTGTAGCATTGGAGAAAGAAAGAGCAGAGTACTTGTAAAAAAGGAGAAAGAAGAAAAAGAAAAAGGAGAAAATTGTTGTTGGCTAATATAATAATAATAATAATAATAATAAGTGGGCTACCTAGCTCAGCCTTCCTGCTGGGCATTGCTATAACGAAGGTTAAAAATTAGGAAAAAGGGGGAAAAAAAAAGGTGGAGAGGTGAATTGAGGAGGGAGAGAAGGGGAGCTGATGCACAGATGAGAAATCATATTACGCGCAAACAGTGAAATCGTTTGAATATCACCGAAAGAGGAGACCTTTGCTTGTTCCTTATGAAAATCGAACCAGATATCAAATATTTAGTCTCGCAGCATCAACCTCAAATATCTCATTAATCACTAGTAAAGGTAATTTAAATTTACTTTATTTTCTCATTATATTTTATAAAGTTAACAACATTATAAACATGCATAAAGTAGAAATAAAAAGATAAATGTATGTACATTTTTTTTTATTTTTTTTTAAAAACACCCTCCTTTCTAAAAAATATTCTGCACTTGCGCGAAAACTGGTGGGCGGTAAGGAAATTTTTCCATCAAGAAAGATGCATTAGTGGGCGGTAGGTAGAAAAAGGTTGACTACCCCTGGTGTAGGTGATCAAGTCGGGACATGGTCATAGATGGTGGTATCTACTCATTACATACATTCCAGACCTGTAAGCAATAAGGTCCTTAACAAACTGAGGACATACATAGTTTACTCAGTCATCTAGAAAAGTGTACAGAGCTCAACACCACATGAGGAGCAGTGCATGTACATTGCTCCCACACATTTGGTTGACCAGAGATGAAGTCTACCTACTACATAATGGGATACGCAAAAGGTGGGTTCACAGGAAAAATAGAAAACAATAATAAAGAAAATTGGTTAATTGAGTCAGTTGGTGAAGGAGGAAAAGACTATTAGAAGAAAAGTAGCTTTGGATATTGTCAGTAGGTAGGAAAAGCAGCTTTAAGTAAAATTATCTTGTTGCAATGACCAAAAGCATTGGAAGAAATTGAGGGGAGATCGAGAAAGATAGAGTCGTCCTATAGGTGGAAACATGACTGTCATTCTTGGTATCTTGGAGCAGGTACTCTACACAGTCATGCTGCAATACCACCCCTGGTCCTGTATAAATATAATGTGCTTTTATATTAGCTAGATCACTTCATTTTAGTATCTATTCATTATCTACATCTCTAGATCACAAATATTTAAACATTGTTTTATGGCTAACCCTCTACTTATTGCCTTCCCTTTCCAAAGTCCTCTGTGTGTCTCAATTCCTAGATCCCTGTGTTCCTGATTCTTTGACTCTCCTGACCGATTAATATTTGTTACCTTGTCCAGTTTTGTTTATTTGATGCATATGTTCCTTTGATTAGCTTTCTTTAGAACGTACATTTCTAATGAATACCCTACTCTTTTTAATCATGGACATTGCCTGTGCCTCTTTTGCCTAGAACGTTTTCCAAGGTGATTTCAATACATTTTACTATTTCATGCTTTTCTCAAGATAAGCCAGACAATCTAAGTAAGATATATATATATATATATATATATATATATATATATTTGTATTGATTATTTTCTAGTTATTTGTTTCTGTCATTATTCTGTATTGTTCCAGTTTCTGTTTATATACCTGGATAAGTCCAACTACTCTTCTGCTATTTGTTTATTTGGATCTTTCTTGTGCGAAGTTGCCTTTATTCCCTTTTTACTAACAAGATTCTACGTCATGAATTTAATCTCCTGCATATTGGATTCACATTGAATCCTTGCAGTGCTGTTAGCCAGGTTATGATCGCCAACTGCTGGCAAATGTTACCGAGAAGAGGAACTAGACAAAATGATCTATCTTTACTGTAAATGTCACCCAACTACCATCATATTAGATTTTCCATTTGCAGTGCTGTCACCAACGCCAACTACTTGCAATGATTACCAAAAAAGAAAACAAAGCAACTAGGCAATATTGCATTTACTCAGAGTTGCCCCAACACCTACCTGGACTTATGAACATAACACTCGTTTGTAAAACAATTTTCCTTTGTAATAACTTTGCACTGATATCTCATCATACAGGAATTACAGGAAACTCTACGTTTGCTGATATACTCTGAAGTATTTCCTAGCTAAAATATGTTTACATGTAGGATTTGATAGATTATACTTAGGTGGTTTTAGATCTGGTCTTCAGATCAGGTACCAAGCTGGATGACTTCCTACATCACTTGTGCTAGGTGTTCTGTTTATTGTAACTAATGTGATGATGTTCAACTTTTGATTAAAAGATCACTAGGTGGTGAAGATTGTCTCATGAATGAAAAGTATATAAATCAACCAGTTTTTTTTAGAGAACTAGCTTTTCTTTAACTTACACATACATCTAAACTCTTTACAAATGTTACATATAAACTAAATTGGTACATTAATGTTTTTTATAAAAATTATAAATGTAATAATTAACCAAATCAAACTGGGCGACGGTCCAATTAACTTTACACATATCCTACTTCATTTACTTATATTGTTTTGAATATTTGTTTTTCGGTTAAACTGGATAGGCTTACGAAGATCTAAACAAAAATAATCACCAATCTAGCTACAACACTATTTTGAGTATCTTGTCAGACCTGGGGTTGAATACAGATTGGTGTTGTTGGAAGCAGTGAGTGGAGTAAGAATAGACAGGCTGGTGCTAATATTTGCATTGTGTTTCACTGACAAATTCATGGAATCTCAGAGTTATGGAATTGAGAGACAGCTCAGACCTGGATCGGTGTTGTTGGGAGCAGTGAGTGTGGTAAGAGCAGACATGCTGGTGCTTGTGATATTTGTCCTTGAGTCATTGCGATTGGAGATAGGTGCTTGCATGTCAGAGGACACAGTAAAAGTTGTAGCAAGACCTGTGATGGAAAGTAAATCATTAATATAATGATGTTCATGAGAAGTAATCAGTCATCGACATTTGCAGTTGTGCTCAAACGTTTGCATTCCCTTGGAGAATTGGTAATATATATACCATTTTTAAAGAGTGAGCAGGAAAAAAAACATTTATTTTATTTCTCATGGGATTCATATTCAACTGTAGGTTATAACAGAATGGCACAATCATAAAACAAAACATGTCAACAAAGAAAAAAATCAAATGACCCCTGTTCAAAAGTCTGCATACCCTTAGTTCTTAATACTGTGTATTGCCCCCTATAGCATCAATGACAGCGTGCAGTCTTTTGTAATAGTGGTCTATGAGGCCACTAATTCTTGCAGGTGGTATAGCTGCCTGTTCGTCTTGCAAAATGCCTCCAGGTCTTTGGTCGTCTTTAACGTACCGCACGTTTGAGATCTCCCCAGAGTGGCTCGATGGTATTAAGGTCAGGAGACTGTGATGGCCACTCCAGAACCTTCACCTTTTTCTGCTGTAACCACTGGAGGGTCATTATCATGCTGGAAAGTCCAAGAGTGTCCCATGCTAAGCCTTCGTGCAGAAGAATGCAAATTGTCTGCCAGTATTTTCCGATAACATGCTGCATTCATTTTGCCATCACTTTTCACAAGATTCCCCGTGACTTTAGAGCTTACACACCCAAAACATCAATGAGCCACCACCATGCTTCACAGTGGGGATGGTATTCTTTTCACTATAGGCCTTTTTGACCCCTCTCCAAACACAGCACTTGTGGTTGTGACCATAAAGCTCTATTTTGGCCTTGTCACTACAAATTACAGTGTGCCAGAAGGTGTGTAAGGTGTTGTTGGGCATATTGTACCTGGCTTTTTTTGTGGCATTGGCGCAGTAAAGGCTTCTTTCTGGCAACTCCACCATGCAGCTAATTTTTGTTCAAGTATTGTTGTATTGTGCTCCTTGAAACAATCCCACCATCTTTTTCCAGAACAGCTTGTATTTCTCCTGAGGTTACCTGTGTTTTTTTTTTTTTTTGTATCTTTCTTGGTCTACGTAACCTTGGCTTGGTATGAAGAGATTCCTGAAACTTTCCACTTCTTAACAAGTGATTGAACAGTGCTGATTGACATTTTCAAGGCTTTTGATATCTTTTTATATCCTTTTCCATAGTTATAAAGTTCCATTACCTTGTTATGCAGGTCTTTTAACAGTTCTTTTCTGCTCCCCATGGCTCAGTATCTAGCCTGCTCAGTGCATCCATGTGAGATCTAACAAACTCATTGACTATTTATACACAGGCAGTAATTGCAATATAAAAAGTCACAGATGTAGGAAATTAACCTTTAATTGACATTTTAACCTGCGTATGTCACCTTGTGTGTCTGTAACAAGGTCAAACATTCAAGGGTATGTAAACTTTTGATTATGGCCATTTGGGTGATTTCTGTTATCATTATGATTTAAAAAGGAGCCAAACATCTATGTGATAATAAATGGTTTCATATGTTCACTATCCTTCAATAAAATGTTTTTCTTGCCTGATAAGTCAAATTTTCAAAATCAATGCCAAAATTTCACAATTTCTGCCAGGGTATGCAAACCTTTGAGCACAACTATATGTACAAACTGGATAATCAAAAACAACTTTGCTCTGTTAAAATGAAATAAAATTAGCCTTCCAGCAAACCTAAAAAGTAAATGTATCTAGATTTGTTTCTTGATAGCAAATATTAATAATTGCATTGTGTTTCACTGACAAATTCATGGAATCTCAGAGTTATGGAGTTGAGAGACAGCTCAGACCTGGATCGGTGTTGTTGGGAGCAGTGAGTGTGGTAAGAGCAGACATGCTGGTGCTTGTGATATTTGTCCTTGAGTCATTGCGATTGGAGATAGGTGCTTGCATGTCAAAGGACACAGTAAAAGTTGTAGCAAGACCTGTGTTGGAAAATAAATCATTAATATAATGATGTTCGGGAGAAGTAATCAGTCATTGACATTTATGAAGAAACTGGATAATCAAAACGGACTTTGCTCTGTTAATAAAATTAGCCTTCGAACGAACCTAAAAAGTAAATGTATCTAGATTTGTTTCTTAATAGCAAGTATTACAAATTGCAAGGTGTTTTACTGGCACATTCAAGGAATTATGGAGTTGAGGGGCAGCTCAGACCTGGGGTTGGATACAGAGTGGTGATGTTGGAAGCAGTGCGTGTAGTAAGAACAGAAGAACTGTTGCTTGCAATATTTGTCTCGGAGTCAGTGGAGTTGACTACTTGTGAGTCAATGTGTGCTGAAGTAACACCTGTGATGGAAAATAGATTAGTTTTATATTGTTCATCTTGCAACATCACTAGTCACTAACTTAAATACAGGGTGGCCCAAAAGTAGGTGTACAGTATATTTACCTTTGCATTATAAGTTCTAAATTCTTTTTTCTACCCTACACTATTCTTTCCAACTGCCACAGTGATGTTTAAATGCATGAAATGTAACTGCCACTTTGTTGTGTGTCTGTGTGTGTGTGTGTGTTTGTGTGTGTGTGTGTGTGTGCCCATATAATCTGTTGTGATGAGTTTCATTGATTCAACCATATACCAACTTTTGGGCCACTCTGTATATGTATATACTGATTAAACACATACTATAGCAAATGATAAAATAATACAAAATGACAATATACATACCTGTATGTAGTGCGCTATAAAATACACTCACATTTTATTCTAAAATGTACTCATTGTTCTTTTCAGAACATTAAAAGGGAATTCAAACACCATCTCCGAAGTGAGAATTCCAAGTGAATTTCAAACTGACAGTCAAAGTAGCTGAACTAGAAGTATAGCTGACTTAGAGAATGTTTTAAATACAGCTATGTTGACCTTAAAATGTAAATTCTCACTTTGGTCACTGCTTGACTAGATGGCTGTTCAGACCAGACAATGAATACAGAGCGGGGGTACTTGTAGGGTTTAGCGAAGTGAGGTCAATACTGCTGGTGGTTGTTGGCAAGGTACATGACTGATCTCTGGAGAGTGCGCAGTATATAGGCAGTGTAGATTCTGAGCCAAGCTCCCACATAGGATATTAAAAAGGGGTTACAAGGATTTGTGAGAAGGCCATGGGCTTAAAGGATATTATAAAAATAAAAAAGCAGACATAACATGCACAATGTAGGTAAAAATAATTATTTTGAGTTTACCCAAAAACCAAACAAAACAATCACTGAGTCAATGATCACAATGTCTTCTCACATCAAGTAGAGTGTCAGGGCTAGTGATTTGTTGCAGGAGCAGCTAATTCAGGTTCACTAATTTATTGTTTTCTACAAACATATTCTATGTCAATGGAGTGCTAATCAACGTATTGAACATTGGGTCATTTACTTTTACTGTATTTTATTCATCCTCACAGATTATTAATTGTATATGTTTTTAAAGTACAGACAATTAGAACTATATATCAACTATATATCAACTAAAGAGTGGCTCGAATATACATTCATCGAATGTGCCAAAAAATAGCAAAATATGTTTCAGACACTCTAGATGGTTTCTCACCAAAGTATTCTTAAAGTTCTTAATTTCCATGCTTTTGGAATGTTTTACAAACGTAACCTTTGTTTTTAAAAACGTGTTCATTCTAGTGATTATACACGTGAGTTTGCTTTAAAGCTGTAATAAAGCGTAGTAGAGGGTTACTTTATTCTATTTACAGAAGTTGGGTTAAAAGAAACACATACGGTGCACCTATAATCCCCCTACTTGTCTACATTCTATTTATGAAAAATTTAGTTTTCAAGAATCAATTAATGGTATGAAATGGGAGAAACCAAAAATATAAAAATATTAGGATGGAATGGTAGTCTGGGAAACAATGAGGAGATAATACAGTAATAAGGACTAGTCAGAGTTCTGTTGTATCTTTGTTTAATTTTATGAGCGATAAGAAACAATAAAAAAAATCACATGGGGATAGAAACACGGTGGGTTAAACTCCTGTATAAACACCTGTTTAAATTTCTACTGTATAACTTGCACATTAATATATTATCGGTAGACAAGGGCACAGGTGGAAGAAGAACAGGAGAAAGGAAATGTAATATTATTCGGATAGGGGAAGGAGGTAATATGCTCATACACTTGGATTTTGGATATGTACTTGGAGGACCTTGGAGGAATAAAGAGATAATAGAATATTTGTTTTTGTAGAACATTAATATTGTTGGGAAAAATGCTAAGTTTTCACTGTTTTGTCACTTTTTATATATTTACAGGGTATACCAGGAATTATGACGTCCTCTTTCCTTTACAGTTACATTGTAAACACAGATCACAAATCCAAGAATAATGTGAATTAAGGAGTATAGCCACAATTAGAACTTTACAGCACATCTTATACGTACATAACAATACTATCTACTAATAAAGTACCTTTTTTTTTTTCAATTAAAGGAGCTCTCCAGTACAGTACAGTACAGTACAGACTATTGTGGTGGTTGTGGTGCCAGTAGAAGATATGAAGTAGCTCAGTCACTTGGTAAGACCAACATATGTATCAAATTGTGCTAAAATCATGTGGATGATCATACTGCACTGTACAAGTGAGGCTAATAATGTGCTCAGGCTGTGTTGCCCAGGGACAATTTCTTGGTGTGTCCAGATATGGGATTCCAGGGAACTAAAGTGGGACAATGGGAGTCGACCCCAAAATTAGGACTATCCAGCCAAAAGTGGTACTGTTGGGAGGCATGGTAATGCAGGATGAGCAAGTACCAACTCTGCCAATTCTCCAGGTCTTCTTCACACCTAGTCTCTGGGATTCTGTTGTCATTACTACCAGGAATGGTCCTCCGTTGGGTTCTACACTAGTTTAATGTTACCGTACACCGCATTGGGGCTATTCTGTGCAATAAAACTGGCTGGTGCAAATCATTTCCAGTCAAGCTATCCTAAACAGATAGGGATTATGTTGTCATTACTACCAGGAATGGTCCGCTGTGGGGTTCTACACTAGTTTAATGTTACCATAAAGTCATCAAGTAGACTCTAATAAATGGCTGAACCTCTTTTAATATCTACACCCCGTTGGTGCTATTCTGTGCATTAAAACTGGCTGGTGCAAATCATTTCCAGTCAAGCTATCCTAAACACCATATAAGAAATTTGAAATTTAGAAATGGCAAAAAAAAGAGTGACCAATGGACAGAGATACCAAGAGACAAATACATACATGCACAGGCACCGTCAGTACAGATAAATACATTAAAAATGCTAAAAGTGAGTTACATGTCGGTAATGCTGTCTTGTGAATGTTCTGTTTTTCTATTCAGCAGTTATTTTTGTCCCTTTCTATAGCTTACTCAGTGGAAGCCTGTTTCACTCCAGGCCTCTTCTCTGGGTAGTGTATGTAAGGCCTTCTTAAATGTCTGTGTGGGACAGGGCAAGCCTTATCCTGTGGGCCGACTCAACAAATGTTCTCAGTATAATATTCAGTGTGTTTTTCTCAAGAGTAATTTACTGTTACTTTTAGAAATATCAGACAAAATAGAAATAACAAATACTTATTATAACTATATAATAACTATTATAATATATAATAGAAAACAATACATTCTAATAAACACATTAATTGTACATACACCATCAATAACATTAATAAACTCATTGTACATCTAATCCGCACACGCATGCTTAGTTTATTCTAAGAGAAGATGCTGTGGAGCCACTGTAAAATTAACGGGCCCTAAGCAACTGTTCAATTTTCCTTGTGTTAAAGACAGCTCTGGGCGAGTGCATAGATATGTATCTCTCTGCACCAGGATTCAAGATCAACCAACAACAAGGTCTAAATGATAAAAAAAAAACATGCTATAAATAATTTCCTAGATGGGGACAAACATCTCAGATTTCTCGTTGCCTCTCGAGCAATCAGCCATACAAGAAATAGCCAACATCCATTAAAACACCCTTGGATCATGGAAGTGTTATGACCTTATTTGTTTGTTTAGGAGTTATTTTCATCCTAAAGGACACTCCTATAGCATGTCACGTAGGAATGGAGCACACAAGTATGATCAGTACTTTGCCGAATACAGTCCATTAGCAAAATGTCATTTAAAAAAAAAAAAAAATCTTACCAGACTTTTTGGTGGTTGTTGTGGGTGGTGATGAGTCTTCTAAAAAAAAAAAATAATAATAATTTTTAGTTAATTATTTTTTTTTAAAGAAAGTAGATATCACATCAAACAAATTCTGACAGAGTTATTTATTAAAGTCAGAACTGAACGTGAATTTAAAATTTAAAGCCAAGTAATCAAACTAAAAGCATAGCGTTCTTGGGGATGTAATTCAGTAACAGAGGGAGCATTTCATCGGAGTTCATCCACTAAACAGAAATTGTTTAAAATTGATCAAGTGAATTACACATTGTTGTCCAAAGCAGCGGAACTAAACATTTTCCAGTATTTTTTTTTTCAGCTTGGCTAATTTGGCCTAAAACTCTCAATTTCAGTTCTTCTCATTTTACAATTTTGTTGGAAAAAAAAAATATAAATATAGTTGTGTCCATATCTACACATTAATAAATTATTGTTGTTATACAGGGCCAACATATAGAGCATGCATATTGTCCAGGATCACGAGTAAAATATAAACAAACCATCCATTTTAAAGAACATCCACCAAAATATGTAATATTGTTTAATTATCCGCTATAATTAAAGGACCACTATAGTGCCAGGAAAACATACTCTTTTTCCTGGCACTATATTGCCCTGAGGGTGCCCCCACCCTCAAGGACCCCCTCCCGCTCGGCTCTGGGGAGAGGAAAGGGTTAAAACTTACCTTTTTTCCAGTGCCGGGCGGGGAGCTCTCCTCCTCCTCTCCTCCCTTTCGGCTGAATGCGCACGCGCGGCAAGAGCTGCGCGCGCATTCAGCCGGACTTTCCTATGGACGCTTGCGTGTTCTCACTGTGATTTTCACAGTGAGAATCACGCAAGCGCCTCTAGCGGCTGTCAATGAGACAGCCACTAGAGGATTTGGAGGCTGGATTAACCCATTTATAAACATAGCAGTTTCTCTGAAACTGCTATGTTTATTAAAAAAAACGGTTAATCCTAGAGGGACCTGGCACCCAGACCACTTCATTAAGCTGAAGTGGTCTGGGTGCCTAGAGTGGTCCTTTAACACGTTTCTGTTTGCAAGGAATAAAATTAAATGTAGAAAATCTACATCACTGTATGCAGCTCTATCATGGAACAAAGTGCTTCCATCTTGCCTCCAAACTAGCTATACAGCTATATGATGGCACAGAGACAGCTTACAGAGGGAAGGAGAGACAGAAACAATGGGGGAGGGGAAGAGGTTACAAAAGTGTTCCCTTTTTTTTTTTTCATTTTTAGCCTGTTTGTATTGTCAGTTATTCCTGGAGTGGTCTAAAAATTGTTGGTTTTCTCTACCTAGAGTCCAATATTTCAGATAAATATCTATTTCACAAAAGACAGATAAATTTAGAGTGGAGTAGAAGTGAGAAATGAAACAGGACACTTTTGGTACACCCCCCTTCCCAAATAAAATAACGAATTGGCGTACATTTAAAAAGATGGTCAAGGTCCAAAAGATACATAACCATCTCAAAAAGGTGCTGGAGAGATCCTCAGTTTTAGTCAAACTATTTCCAAATGGTTTGATACAATGAAATTAAGCACAGTACCAACAGATTCATATCATTATGACCAGTGCAATGAGCTGCAGTGGTGATGGTTCTGGTAAAATTATGCCAGAAGGTCATAGATCGCGAATTACACTTGCGTTATGGACACTGCAACTAAAATGAGTTTTCATACTTCAAAAGTCAACGAAAACTGCTTAATCTCATCTAAACGTAACAATTATTGTGCACATGACTACATAGTAACCTTGGTTGTAATGACCAGTTCCATTACCCCTATACTTAGCCATACATTCTAGATACCAATAGATGTTTAATGAAGCAAGACTATAATGTGCCCTTGTTAGGTTTAAAGCATCTTACAGAAGCACTGCCCTTTGCGTCAAAGTCAAATAAAGAACAGCAGAGCC